GTTCAAGAATATTTTTAGGAACCCAGTACATGGAGAATACCTAGGTAACTCTAATTCATTTGACTTATATAATTAGTAGTGGTAGGAGACATTGTATGATTTCCATTTTTAGAAACATGCCCTTACAATTTCACTGAAGTATACTTGTTATAGAATACAGTGCATACATTTAAAATGTACCATGCGATGTGCTTTCCTACATGTATTCACCTGTGAAACTATGTCTATAAAAATAATAAACGTATATTTTATCTCCCCAATTTTCTCTATGTACGTTTGAAATACATGTGTACCATCATTTTTCTGTAACCAACCAACACTTATCCTAGGCAACAACTGCTTAATGACTATAAATTAAGTTGTTTTCATTCTTACGATGTATTTTTTAGTTGTCTAAATTTAGGAGATTCAGTGCAATTTTGTTATTTGGCTAAATTGCATCATAGTGAAGTCTAAATGTTTAATGTACCTGTCATCTTAATAACACACATTATACTCATTTGGTACTTTCTCATCTCTCACCTCCCTCCCACTCTCCCACCCTGAGTTTTCAATGTTTATTGTTTCACACTCTACGTCCATGTATACACATTATTTAGCTCCCATGTTTAAGTGAGAATGTGCAGTATTTGACTTTCTGATTCTGAATTATTTCACTTAAGATAATTACCTCTACATTGTTGCAAAAAACATGATTTTAATTTTTTATGGTTTAGCAACATGCATACATAACTATAATACACACACACACACACACACACACACACACACACACATCACCAGATTTTCTTTACCCAATTATCAACTGATGGGCATTTAAGTTGATTCCATGCCTTTGTTATTGTGAATGGTACAGTGCTATGGATGCAGGTACCTTTTTTATATAATGATTTGTTTTCTTTGGATATATATGTAGTAGTAGGATTACTGGTAGTTCTATTTTTAGTTGTTTGAGAAATTTTTATACTGTTTTCCATAGAGGTTGTACTAATTTACATTACTACCAACAATGTATAAGCATTTTTTTTTCTCTACCTCCTCACCAATGTCTGCTATTTTTTTCTTTTTAGTAATAGCCATTTGACTGGTGTAACATAATATCTTATTATGGTTTTGATTTGCATTTCTTTGATGATTGAACATTTTTAATATATTTGTTGCTTACTCATATTTCTTCTTTTGGAAAATATCTGTAGAAGAAACAATCATAAAATGTATATAAAACCAAAAAAGAGCCTGAGTAGCCAAAGCACTCCTAAGCAAAAAGAAAAAAGATGGAAGCATCACATTACTTGAGTTCAAATTATACTACAAGGCTATAGTAACTATAACAGCATCATACTGATATCAAAATAGATGCATAGATCAGTGGAACAGAATAGAGATTTCAGAAATAAAGCCACATGCCTAAACCCAACTGACAAAGTCAACAGAAACATACACTGGAGAAAAGAAGCCTTATTCAAAAAATGGTGCACAAAAAATTGGATAGCTATATGCAGAAAAATTAAACTGGACCTCTACTTCTCACTGTATTCAAAAATTAACTCATAATGAATTAAATACTTAAATGTAAGAACTGAAACTTTAAAATACTAGAAGAAATCTAAGAAAAACTCTTTTGAACATTGGTCTAGGCAAATAATTTATGATTAAGACCTCAAGAGCATTGGCAACAAAAATAAAAATAAATGAAAGACAAGTAAATGAAAAGAATTCCTGGATAGCAAAATAAATAATCAACAGAGTAACAGAGCACCTGTGGAATGGGAAAAATGTTTGCAAACTAGCCATCTGACAAGAAACTAATATTCAGAATTTACAAAAAACTCAAACAACTCAATAATGACAAAAAAACCCACAGCTCCATTAAAAAGTGGGCAAAGAACAAGAACAAATATGCTTAGAATATATATTATATAAAATATGTATAACTATAATCATATACATTATATTATATATTATTCTATATAATAAAAATAAAATATATAGACATATATAGTATAATATATATAATATAAAACTTACTATAAATATATATGAAAGCCTATAATATGCCTTCTTCCCTTTAGCTTATTTCACTTAGCATCTTTAATTTGAGATTTATCCATTTTGTGTGTATCACCAGTTTATTCCTGTATAATGCTGAACCATATTATATTATATTATATTATTCTACTATATAATTTTATATTATATTATATTGATATGCCTCTTTTTGTTTGGATAATGATTATTAGTAGATTTTTGGATTTGTTTCAGTTTTTGGAGATTATGAATAAAGCATTTGTGAACAAGACTTTCTGTGAAGTTTGGGTAAATAGACCTAGAAATGACACAGCTTTGTCATATTCAGGTATAAATTTAGAGTTAAGAAAATAATTCTATTTTCCCAAATAATTATAATATTAACATTTCCAACAGCAGTGCCTGAGACTAGCAATTGCCCCTCATCCTAAATACTATGGTCAATCTTTAAAAATTTGTGGAGATCTTAATAGCGTGTGTTATATAGATGTTTTAATTTACATTCCCTAGTTATTAATGGTATTGAACATGTTTTTCATGTACTTATTTATGATGTGTGTATACATTTTGGTGAAGAGCTTGTTAAAATATGTTGCCCTCTTGTATTGGATGGTTGTTTTTCTTTTTATCTAATTGTTTTTATTTATTTATTATTTTAAAGATGTGGGGTTACAATTCAGGGTCAGGTATACAAATGGTCATCGTGTAGGTAAAGTTTGGGCCTCACTTTGGTCTCTACTTCACCCACTGTGAGATCACATGCAGTTATTGATGAGGTGTGTCCCTCCTCCCTCCCCTGGTAGTTTCCCACTACTGCCAATCCTTCCTTATAGTATTATGATAATTGTTCAGGATCTGCTTATGAGTGAGAACATGTGGTACTCAGTACTTTGTTCCTATGATAGATCACTCAGTATTATATACTTTAAGTCCAATCAAGTTTCTCCAAAGTTCATATTTTTGTCCTTTTTATGGCTGTGTAATATTTCATCGTGTATATGTAGCACATTTTTTTAAATCCAGTCTTCTTTCAATGGGCAGCATGGTTGGTTCCATGTGTTTGTGATTGTAAATAGTACTGCAATAAGCATGCATGTGCAGCTATCTTTTTCATAGAGTGATTTGAGTTCCTCTAGGTATATTCCCAGAAGGAGGATTGCAGGGTCATGTGGAAGATCGATTTTTAGATCTTTTAGGAATTACTAACTGTTTTCCACAGAGGTTGTACTAGTTTACACTCTTACCAACTGTGTAGAAGTTTTCCCTTTCCCCTGCATCCTCTCAGGCATTTGTTTTTTGAGTTATTGATGATGGTCACTCCACCTGGTTTTTATCTCATTTTAAAACCAATTTATTTTTCCAATTGGAAGTCCATTTTCAGATAGTTAATCTCCAAATATTTTCTTGCAGTGGAAACTTTTGTTTTTATTCTGTTAATAGTATTTTGAAAGAGTAGAGTTTCTTAATTTTTATAAAACTTAGTTCATTCATTTAGACAATATAACTAGTTACTGATCTTCTACAGTTTCTTTTAAAAGTTTTATAATTTTAGGCTGTACATTTCAGCTTCTGATTGATTTTTACTTCATTTTTATAGAATGTAAACTATAAATTGAAGTACATCTATGTGACTATGTTTGGTCAATTGCTCCAAAATTGTCTATTCTGCATAGATACCTCAGAAGCTGGGTGAAAATCACATATGATCATTTTATATCTCTCCAATATGTGTCCTCAAGGAGAATTTTTCCTATTCTATATACAGGTATTATATATTTTTTACAAATTGTGTTGATAAATATTTTATATTTTAAGCTATTTTAAATGATATTTACACTTCATTTTAAGTAGAGTGCCAATGGTATAACAAATACAACTCTTTGTATAGTAGACTTGGGTGTTATAAACTTGTTAAATTGCCATATGCATTCTATGAGCTTTGCTACATTACACAAAATGTTCTACATAGAAAAATTATGCAATCTGTATATAAACTTTAATTCTTTGTTTCCACTATCAATCATTCTTATTCCCTTTTACTATTATTTCCATTTTTTCTTAATGCTTTGTTTCATTGGTTAAAACTGCCAGTGCAATTTGGAACAGATGTGACAAAAACAGAGACCCTTGCATTTTTTCCTGACATTAGATAGAAATATTTAATCTTTTATCATTAAGTGTGTTAAAAACTGTCTGTTTTTTGATAGATGTCACTTATCTAGATGAGGAAGTTCCCTTGTCTTCATTTTCTGAAACTTTATTGGGGATTGATAATGGATTGTTTCAAATGCTTTCCCCTGCATTTATTAAGATAAACATACATTTTTATTTTGTTTGAGAGTATAATGAAATGCATTCATTATTTTTCAAAAACAAAATTTACCCTATATTTATAAAGTCAATGCGAGTTGGTCATAATATATTAAATAATCATTTAATTCAATTTGTATACATTTTGTTAATCATTTTTACAATTTAATTTATAAAGAAATTTGATATTTTATTTTTATAGAATGCCTTTCTCTGGTTTCAGTATCACTGTAGAGCTAGCAACAGATAATGAGTTTGACTCTTTCAGGGGCAGAATTGAGATAAATAACATGCAGATGGCAATAACTCTTTGCATAAAGTTAAGGAATATTATCTAGATGAAGTGACATTGGCTGAAAAATAAATAGTTGCAGGACAGGATTAGAAAATTCATAGATCAAAGAGTGAAGAATTGTATATTGATATCTTCCTTTTGAATAAAATATCTCCATAATTTTTACTATTGACATGAAGAACATCATTGTCCATACACATTCAGAATTCTCATTATATCTTTTATTTGAGCCTATGTTCTTCTCTCATTTTCAATGAGAAAAAAAGAAAAAAGAAAAATAATTGAAAGTCAAAGTGGAAATTACATAAAGGAACCACTGAGGGAAGGATAACCTGAAATAATTTTTTAACTTTTGAATACATCTGAGTTACTCTTTCTTTACAAATATTTCCATAACTTGATCTCTAATTTGTTTTGTCTTAACCCCATAAATGACTGGATTTAAACAAGGAGGAACTACCACATACAGATTGGCCAGGAGAATATGAATGTAGCGAGGAACATTTCTACCAAATCGGTGAGTCATAAAGGAGAAAAATGCTGGTGTATAAAAGGCTAAGATGACACACACATGTGAACCACATGTGCTAAGAGCTTTGAGTTTGGCATCCCTGGAAGGAAGGCGAAAAACAGCTTGTAGGATCTGAACATATGAGAGGGCAATAAGGATTAAGTCAAAGATCAGGGCAGCGATGGTAAATAACCCATATATGATGTTGACCCTTACGCTAGCACAGGCAAGACGAGCAATTCCCATATGTTCACAGTAGGTATGAGGAATAATGTATTGTCCACAAAAGGGCAATCGTTTGAGAAGAGGGCAGAAGGGGATGACAAGAAGAACTGGCCGTCCCACTACAACAGAGGCCATAATGGCTACTACTTTGTTGGTGAGAATAGTGGTATATCTCAGTGGGTAACAGATGGCAACAAAGCGGTCAATTGCCATGGCCAGGAGTACAACAGATTCCATACCAGTGTAGGTGTGGATAAAGAACATTTGAATGAGGCAGCCCTCAAAGCTTATCTCCCTAAGGTTGAGCCAGAAGATGGCCAGCATTTTAGGGATGGTAGAGGTAGAAAGACCCAGGTCAATTAAAGAGAGAAGAGCAAGAAAGTAGAACATGGGTTGATGAAGACTCCTCTCAGTCTTAATTACGCACAAGATTGTGAAATTTCCCACAAGTGCTATTAGATAAACAACAAAGAAAGGAAAGGCAATCCAGATATGGAAAGCTTCCAGACCTGGGACACCCAGCAAAAGAAAGACTGAGGGATATGAAGCAGTGTAATTGACAGAGGACATCCTGCTGAAGACTCTTGGAAGATATTCTACTGTCTTCTTCAGTATTTCTGGGGAGACACAAAAGAATATATGGCAGTTGGATATTACTACATGCAGTAACATGCTAATTAAATTCTCAAAAACACAGTGGAAGAGAATTAGGGGATAATTAACTATCAGAGATATTTAAATTATTGACTATCCCATTTAATGTTTTATGAAGACTTTGGAAGTTAAACACAGTCTATTCTAGTGGCCTCAAGATGTAATGATTCACGATTGCATTTACCACATTCTTTTGCAAAATGCTCATCCATAAACACATTTTAAGGGATGTTATCTATGTATTACTTTCTAAGTTGAATTGAATCAGGGTAACGATGTGTAGTATGATGTTCACTCAAGAGATGGCATTGGTCAAATGAATGCTAGTGTCACCAGGCAACAGGCAGGGCAGTCAAAGAGAATTGCAAAAGCATGGTTGTCATTTGGGAAGCATAAGATCATTTTGAAGTGATATTTGAAATTCAAGAATGTTGTGGAAGTACAATGACAGTGGAGACATAAGTATGCAGCAGAAGCTCCAACACACCTAACAACTGCATGCATTTGTGATAAGTCTGAGATGCATGGTATTATGTATGATGTGCACAAGGGAAGATATGGGAGACCTCACAGAGCAACAAGTCCTGCAGTAGTTTGCAGTCATCAGAAATGTCTGGACACTGATGGTAACCACGTAAAGCACTTCTTGTATTTGCAGAAGTCAAATATGACTTATATTCATTTGTTGTTATCAGTGGATATTGAGAATTATAATTTTAATACAGATTTTTTCTTTCTTAAAATATGTATGCATTTTTGGCACCCTCTGTATACTAGTATCAACTGAGATAGCTGAGTATCAACTTCAGTAGCTAGAACTTTTGTAACATCAAGTTACCTTGGTTTCTGAATTGATCAGATATGTTAGAGAAAACTCCCCCAAGAAAACTATGAGAAAAATGAGTGAGGAAATGAAATCAGAAGAAATTATTTTGGTCAATAAATTATCCATTTAAATGGTTAATCTGCGTTTTATAGTCTCTGCTCCTGAAGCATTACCTCTCTTTATTTGCTTTAATAAGACTGTGTTTTTAACCTATCTTTATTTTTTTTTTTTTGAGTTGGAGTCTCACTCTGTCACCCAGACTGGAGTGCAGTGGCCGCTCCCGGCCACCACAGCCTCGACCTGCTGGACTCTGGCAATCCTTCCGCCTCAGCCTTCCAAGTAGCTGGAAATACAGGCGCGCGCTACCAAACCCAGCTGATTTTTTGATTTATTGTAGAGATGAGGTCTCGCCAAGTTGCCCAGGTGGGTCTCGAACCCGTGGGCTCAGGCAATTCACTCACCTCAGCCTCCCAAGGCGCGGGTTTACAGGCTGAGCCACCGAGCCCGGCTTAACCTATCTTTTAATGAGACTGCTTTTAAGCTTTTGTTGAGGAATTGATTATAGGTATTATTTTTTACTTTGACAGATGAAAAATTTGTGATTTGCTACATAAATAAATACTGAAAAATATGTGATTCTTTTAATAGAGGTAGAAAAAGTGTTTAATTAAGTTTAGCATCCATGAGTGATACTTAGAAAAGTATTTTAAGAAAACTAGGAAAAAAATAAATTTTCAACTTGATTAAAGGAATCTGAAAAACCTATAATCAATATCATACTGAATGATGAAACACTGGAAATCTTTTCCATGGAATTGGAAATTAGAAATAAATACCAAATACCATCAATTCTATTTATTTATTTATTTATTTATTTAGAGTTGGAATCTCACAGTTGCCCAGGCTGGAGTGCAGTGGCTTGCTCATGGCCACCATAGCCTCAACCAGCTGGACTGAGGCGATCCTTCTGCCTCAGCCTTCCAAGTAGCTGGAACTACAGGAGCAGCCACCACCACACCTGGCTAATTTTTTTAAAATTTATTGTAGAGACAAGGTCTCGCCAAGTTGCCCAGACTGGTCTTGAACCCATGGACTCAGGTAATTCTCTCGCCTTCACCTCCCAATGTGCTAGGATTACAGGTTTGATCCACCACACCCAGCTTACTATTTAATATTTTACTGGCGATTCTAACAGTAAAATATGTCAAGATAACAAAATAAAAATGTATCAAGATTGTCAATATTAATAAATTTTTAAGTCTTATTCTAAAGTAATTATAGGAATATCCTAAATTCATTAGAAAAAGAATAACAAGTAGGAGGTTTTGTATTAAAGATATTCAAACTTATTATACAACTAGAGTAATCAATTTGGTATTTGCACAATAGGCAGTTTGGTATTTGCACAATTATGAAAATATAGATCAATGAAACAGAATAGAAAGATCAGAATATACAAATTTTGTATGTTCAGCTTAATTTTATTAAGAAATCAATGTAATAATTCAAGAAAGATAGTTAATGCCAGTAATAATATAATAATAACTATAACAGTGCTCTTCTGTGTATTATCAGATTAAAAAATTATAATTAGGAAAGTGAGTATGAAAGGCACAGACTGGGGGGAAATGTTCACAATCTTTATTTCCGAAAAAATAATTAGTGCCAAGAACACATAAGTATGCTTACAACTAAAAAAAAAAAAAAAAAAAAAAAAAAAGAAAAGAAACCAAGGAAAAAACTTTAAAAACAGATCTAAACTAACAGTTTTCTAATAAAAATGTACAAATGACATTACAATTCTCAAAACCATTAGGCATCAGGAAATGTACATTAAAAGTGTAATGATGTGTTATTATACATTTGCTAGAACAGCTAAAATTAAAAAGCATGACAACAAATTTTGGCAAGAATGTAGAGCAATAGATTCAGCTACTTTGATAGCATGAACTGAAAAAGAAGCAAAATTGGGAGGATAAATATTAGTTTCTTATAAATTTATGAGAGTCATTACACACATTCACTAGCTGCATATATTTACAAACAACATGTATAAGAATGTTCATAGCAACTTTATTTAAAATTTCCCTAAAGTGAAAACAATGCAAATACTCATCAACAAGTGAATAGATAAATCAATCTTGGAATAATAGGTGATTTAATTTTATTTGGCGATAAAGATGGATTGATTATTTATGCATGAAACAGCACAGATTAATCTAAACTCATTATGCTGAACCAGTGATTACTACTAGTAACAAAAGAGTATTCATTACATTATTTCATGTACATGAAGTTTTAGAACATACATACACACAGTATGTGTTGAAAATATTAAGTCAGTTGTTGCTAGGTGCTGAAAGGGTCAAATATTGACTGAGAAGAAACATAAGAGGATGTTTCAACATGATGAAACAATTCTGTATCTTTATAGTGGTATTGGCTATACAAATAAATTGTTTGCTATATTCTCCAAGTTTGAACTGGTTGTTGAAGATAAAGTGTACATATTTTTAAATGCACAAATATTTTTCAAAGTTTACAGATGATATTAGTATGTTTTAACAAATGTACATTTTACTTTCAACAACCAACTCAAACTTGGAGAAAATAGCTGAATCCTTACAATTGTTGAAATTAGATGATGGGATTGTGCTTCTCTGTTTAATGTGTATATATTTTAAATCTTCCATAATAAAATGGTATAAAATATAAACTCGGAAAAATATGTGTCATCATTCATATTTCACAATCTAAAAAATATCATTTGCTTTCATAAGATGTTCGACTTGGGGACTTCTTTAAGACAGAATATTATATTCGAATAGGATGTTAATTCATCTGACACAATTAATAAAGTAAAAAATCCTGACATCTGACTACAATATTTTACAATTACACTCAAAAAGAATAAAATAAAATATATAATATAATCCTGATATTTTTATTCTTATTTATAATCCATCAGCTTTTAGTCAAATACCAACCATTATATTTTCTTTACAATACTTTGCAAGAGTTTACTGATAATTGAGAACACTTTAAATAACGATGAATTCAGTGGGAATTACACAACCACAAAACATGCCAGGGTTGAATCCTAGGTTGTACCCTACTACTCCATATAAGTCTTCTCAAATGTATCATTTATAAGTATCATAATATTTTTATGCTTTGTAAAAACATCTCAAACATACTTCTGAACACATTCAACCAAATTTCATATTCCTTTCTTGCTAAAGTTAACAACTAATTTCAGGAAACCAGAAGCCTAATCAACTCGAATTGTACCAATTGGGATGGACTTAAGGATATATATTTTTTTCTCCAATTTGGATATGTACTTTTATTTTTATTTTTTGCTTTATTTGACTGAACCTGTATACCAGTAAAAGCCCATCAAAGAAAATATATTTTACTGGCACTGTGCTAAATTATGCAAATATTCTCTTTTAAATTTTATAACAACTATATGAGTATATGCTATTATCTTACCTGTTTTACAGGAAAACCAGGCTAAGATTAAGAGAGTCTAAGTAACCTGTTCAAGGTGACTCACAACCAAAGTTGTATGGTTAGAAATAAAACATGTACCTGTCTCCATATTACAAAATTTCCTTTGGACAATAATGCTTTTGCTAAGGTAGGTATACAAGAAGGGAGCCATTATAAGTTCGGAAAGGAAAGTCTGTTGTTCAAAACTCCACAGCTATTTAAAGCCTCTAGACGAAGGAAAATAAGAAATATAATTTTGTATAGTTAATAGTATACTTGTTTATTTTTATTTCTTTCTGTGTGATTCTCTGTGTTCAGCAGTCAGAATCTAAAATTAAAGGAAAAAAATGTATGTGTTTGCCCTTCAAGAATAAAAAGAAAAGGATTGACAGTTTAGACTATAAATCACCTGGACTTGAATTGATGGGAGGCTGGGAATGGTCCCAGAAGAGGAAGAGATGAGACTGGAAGAAAGAGAGAAAACCCTAAGAAGTTGAGTGAATCTTGGCACTTAAATAAGTGAAAATATGTTGGCTTTGATAGGAGCACACAAAATAAAAGTGAATTTCTGGGAGCGATTTTAGCGAAAAAAATCTTTTAGAATTAATATGTGTAAAATAGAACCTGGCATACTCTCAACCCCATTTTCTGTTGTGCTCATGATACAACTGATAAATAGATCTCATTAGATGAATCTAAATGAATCTAAAATAAACTTTCAGTGATTTAAATTTAAACAAAGATAGCATCAATGCAGAGAACTTTAAACTGTTGAGTCTGCTTGGGCAAAGCTTATCTCTTATATCTACAGATAAAGTCATTCTTCTCCTTTATACCTGTGATTCTGCCACCATTAAGGGACAATTATCTGTTTCACTATTTCCTTTATAATGACTCCAATTCTAGAATTACAAATATTTGGCAAATATATCTATAATAACAACCTATATCTAATATTTAAAGTAGATACTGGTTATCTATCATTATATTATTTTTTATTGAGCCTAAGTAGATTCAAAGCCAGACCCTCTCAAAACTTCTGACATTCACAATCCATTGATAGATGTTAACTTTACAGATGAACCAGACTTTTCTTCCTTTTCTCAAAAGTTGTGAGGATACAGGTTTATTTGAAGGTCCTATAATTTATATGGTTTTGGGTTTGACTAGCAGATAGATCCTCTTACTATTCTATTCTTTCTAACAGACATTCAATCAGTGTCAGATTCAACCATAGAATCTTTTCCTTCATAGCAGAGCCCGTCTGTTTCCTGAGGGTCATTAGGAATCAGCTGGTTTGGTATTCAGGGCAACTCCTCCTTCTGGACTCGAGAAACATAAATTTATGTCTTTACTCTCCCACTTAGCAAAGCCTTTAGCCAAATCATCCCCTGAGTCTTATTTTATTTATTTATCTGTAGAAGTTGAGATAATCATAGCATCAGTCTTATGTGACTCTAATGTTCAGAAAATTAGCTGTTGCCTATGAAATACCTAATGAAATGTCTTGACACTGAGTCCAGAATAACATTAGCTGGCATAATTTGTCGTTATTATTCTCCATTTCCATGAATCATGGTGCTAATGTTTGACTTTTACATAAAATACAACATATTGCTAATAGCATAGACATTACTCTAGAAAAGATCATGTGAAAAGAGCTCCCACCATTTAGTCTAAATTGAAAGTAAAGACTCTCATTGAATAGTTGCCTCTGTTCTAAAACATGTTCCTAATATTAAAGGCATATTCAGAATATGTAGTTAGGGAACAAATAGAAAAACTTTTAGAACTTTTTCATTGATAATCATGTAGGAAATACTTTCTGCCTTGTATAAATGTACAGATTAATTGAGTTTTGCTTTGAAACATGGAGTATGTAGGTTAGAATTAACTCAGACAAATATAGGACTCTGTAACTCAAATTTGCAATTTCTATTACTACAACTGTGAAAAACACTACCACTTTTACAGAATCTCATTCTTCAACACAGGTTTATATGCAAATAGGACAGGTATTGAAATCCTTGTTTTGCAACTCAGAGTGCAAAGGCCAACCCCAAGGTCATACAGTTAATAAGAAACAGCAACTATTTCAAAGAGGCCACTCTATTACCTACGACATTGTTCTCTCTGATATAGTCCATGGTTCTGATCACTGGTCACTCACTTAGGCCAATATCTTCAGTAAAAGTGCACCACATAGTGTATAGGTGTTCCTTCTCTGTGGTATAAGCTGAAATAAAAAAGCCCAGCCCTTTTATCCGTGACATATCTGTAAATGGTAATACCTGATATGACTTCCAGAAGCTCTCCACAATATCCACTGAGTTGGGTTGCCCCACCTGTCTGAACCTTTCTGTGGGAGAGTTCCACAAGTATATAATATAACCTGGGCTCCCTTGCCACAGACACCATTCTGCCTCTTCTTGAAGTGTCAGTTTGGCCTTTATACTCAGGATCCCTCAAGAGGAATACTTTATAAAGAGAAGCTAATTTCTCTAAGAAGGACACCCGGGTCATTCTCTTCAGAGACTGATAAGAGTGTCTGAGAGTTTGAGTTAAAATGTTTGGACACTCTTGGTTCAAAACTGTACCTAAAGAGCCAGGACTCTCTTGTATGCCATCTTTAAGGCACACCAAATTTTTATGTCATTTAACTTCATTTCCAGATTTTTATATCCATTAAGTTTCTTGAATTATTTTGAACATGGTCTCTTCAATTTGGAATATATATATTTTCAAGCATGTCCCCCTCAGTTTCTTTCACATTTTTGAATTAATAGCTATGATCACTGCTTTACATAATTCTTTTTGAAAATTAAATTGCCATGTTTACTCCTAAATGATATTTGGTTGTCTATTTTATAGTCTGTTTCTACATTAACTCATAGCAGAGAAATTTTTTAGATAGTCCTGGGAATAAATAATTTATTTGAAATCCTGTGTTACATTACTATATGCAATATACTTCACTTCTGAATCCCTACTTACATATTATAAAATGTGAACTACCCTAAGGAACTAAATGTAATTCATAGAACATAGTAAGTGGTCAATAAATGGTAGATGTTATTATTGGTAGTCATATTACCTATTGTTTCATAGTGATTATATACTTTCTAAATTATATGGAATTATACGTGCTTCTTTCTATCCCTGCTGTATTTAAAAAGATAATTTTTTCTTACTAGTATTGTTTTTTTAAGTATCATTTAAATGCAAAGTTTATGTACTTATTTTATTTCACAGTTGTTTAATATGTTCAGGTTGTATATTTTTTGTTTACTTAGATGAGAAAAAAGGAAGATTATTTTCTGACTTTAAAAATGCTACTTATTCCAACCTAATATATAATATCAATGTTTTTTGTGCTGTTTTCTTAGTATGTGTCAAAGTACTAGTCTAGAGTTTGATTCTACCAATTTGTATATATTTCATATATATGCTTACTTTCTCATTTATAGGTTCATTGAATATTTTGACAAAAAGAGTGGTAAATAAAAACCTTAGGGCATATATGCTTTCTGTTTGATGAGTCTGTAAATATTTTACTTAACACTGCCATCTTTGCTTGTTGTGATGTTTCACTAGTCATGGAAATTAATTTTATGATATTACTGATCTCCTCTTTCACTGTGCATTCTTACATTCAAATTGTGTCACTCCAAGCCAATCCAAGATGGCAAGGTGTTATCCTGAAGTGAAATGGGAAAAAAAAAGTTCATGCCTTTGCATTTTGTGCTCAAACTCTAACCTTGCTAGCTTGGTGTAATATTGCTCTCTTGTGAAAAAAATAACTTTATACCCTGTCTGTGCAGATACTTGGCTATGTATAAAGCTTCTATTTCTTCAGATAGACAGATTTTGGTATGTCTATTCACCTGTCCATTTCTGTCCTGTTACCTCCTCTGTATGCCTTCTTTTCCACATCATATCATTGCCTCAATTTTCTCAGCTATAAAATGGGAGCACTTAGAATGCTTCCATTTTATTGTAGATTTAAGAATTTAGTGAGTTGGCCGGGCTCGGTGGCTCAGCCTGTAATCCCATGCTTTGGGAGGCCGAGGTGAGTGGATTGCCTGAGCCCATGAGTTCGAGACCCGCCTGGGTAACTTGACGAGACCTCATTTCTACAATAAATAAAAAAATTAGCTGAACATGGTAGCGCAGTAGTTCCAGTAGTTCCAGCTACTTGAAAGGCTGAGGTGGAAGGATCGCCGGAGCCCAGCAGGTTGAGGCTATGGTGGCCGGGAGCGGCCACTGCACTCCAGTCTGGGCGACAGAGTGAGACTCCAACTCAAAAAGAAAAAAAAAGAATTTAGTGAGTTAATACTTACAAAGTTATGAAAATTTTGCCTGTTTGATAATATGTATCTTATAATTGTTTGTCATTATAATGATGCTAGATACTTTTTATCAATGTTACATGCTTTTTCATATAAATGCTATTATATTTATCACATAATTGTTGACATTTGTGATATGTACTAGGAACTATGCCTATATCAGAGATATTATGAATCTGTACATTAGACTCTAAGTTCTTCAGAACTCATAATAATTCAATTTTGAGACTAGAAATTTCCATTTTTTTTCCTACTCAGGCCTCTTAATCTCTGAAGTCCAAATTTTATCATTTATTTTTGAAAATTCTAATTACCGTCTCTCTTATCTGCTTAGTTCTCACTCCATAAATAACAGGATTGAGAGCAGGTGGTATGACTACATAAAAGTTGAAAAGAAGAATATGGATGTATTGAGGAACATTTTGGCCAAACTGGTGGGTCATGAAAGAAAAAATGCTGGTGTATAGAAGGCCAAGATGACACAGACATGGGAGCCACAGGTGCTGAGTGCCTTCAGTCGGGCATCCCTGGAAGGTAGGTGGAAGACAGCATGGAGGATCTGGGTATAGGAGAGGATAATGGCTATGATGTCAAACACCAGGATAGTTATGGCACATAAACCATAGATGATGTTGACCCTTATACTGGCACAGGACAGTCGGGCAATACCCATGTGTTCACAGTAGGTATGGGGGATGACTTGGTGTCCACAGAAGGGCAGTCTTAGGATGAGTAGAACAAAGGGGATTGCGATGGTTAAGGGCCTCAGAAGGATAATCAATGCTGTAACTGATACCACCTTGTTTGTCAACACCAATGTGTAGCGAAGAGGATCACAGACGCCCACATAGTGGTCATAGGCCATGGCCACGAGCACAATAGACCCCATGCCAGTGCACAAGTGGATAGAGAACATCTGGATGAGACAACTGACAAAAGTGATCTCTCTCAGGCTGAACCAGAAGATGCCAAGCATCTTAGGGATGATGGATGTAGATAGGCCCAGGTCAATACATGACAGAATGGCCAGATTAGATTAATTTGGGGAGTTTTATGAAAATTGTGAGGTGCTCTTTCATATCTAATAATTCAAACTCTAAGTCAGCACTTTGAATTTGTATTTTTTTTTTTGAGTTGGAGTCTCACTTTATTGCCTAGACTGGAATGCAATGGCCGCTCCCAGCCACCGCAGCCTTGACCTGCTGGGCCCCGGCGATCCTTCCGCCTCAGCCTTCCAAGTAGCCAGAATTACAGGCATGCGCTACCACGCCCGGCTGATTTTTTGATTTATTGTAGAGATGAGGTCTCGCTGCCCAGGCGGGTCTCGAACCCCTGGGCTCACGCAATCCACTCACCTCAGCCTCCCAAAGGTGCAGGATTACAGGCTGAGCCACCGAGCCTGGCCTGAATTTGTATTTTTATCTAATACTGAAGTCGCTGGCTATTATGTAAAGCCAGGACTTAAAAACCCACAGCTATGAAACCCTTCTTTCAATGTCTGTTTATAGGAAGTGCTGGGGAAGCCTACTTTTCTTTTTTTTTTTGAGTTAGAGTCTCACTCCATTGCCCAGGCTAGAGTGCAGTGGCACACTCATGGCCTCCCCAGCATCAACCCATGGGTTCAGGCGATCCCTCCGCCTCAGCCTTCCAAGTAGCCGGAACTACTGGAAAATGCAAATCAAAACCACAATATCACTTCATATATGTTAGAATAAATATTATAACAACACCAAAAAGACAATAAATTTTGGCAAAGTGTGGAGAAATTGGAACCCTTGTACAATGATAGTGAGAATGCAAAATGGTGCAGTCAGTGTAGAGATTTCTCAAAAATTAAATATAGAGCTACCATACTACCCAGCAATCTAACTTCTGAGTATTTGTCTAACAATTGAAAGCAGAACAGTTAGTAACATAGATACTAGCACTTCCCATTTTAAAATGTTCATCAACAAATAAGCAAACTGTGGTATGTATATTTATATATATGATGAATGTTATTCTGCTCTTCAAAGAAGGAAATTCTTCAACATATGGACAACATGGCTAAAACTCGAAGACATTTTGCTAGGTGATATAAACTCATCATGGAAAGATGAATACAATATGATTCACCCTATACAAGGTATATAAAATAGTTAAACTCATAGAAGAGAATAACAAAATGATAGTTGTTGGTGATGAAGAGAGGAAGAGGAAATGGAATGTTGTTCAATCAAGTTTACAAAATTTTAGAGATAAAAGATGAATCCATTCTAGAGATCTAAAATACAATATTATGGCTCCAGATAATAATAAAAATATGTTCAGAAGGTAAATCTCATATTAATTGTCTTACCACAATTTTTTTTTAAATGACTATAGTATTGGTGCAATATTGGGCAACAATGATCAACGAGATCAAATTATATACAAGGTCTTTAGAAAAAAGACACACAGGCCGGGCATGGTGGCTCAAACCTGTAATCTCAGCACATTGGAAAGCCAAGGTGAGAGAATTGCCTGAGTACAGGGGTTGAGACTAACCTGGACAACTTGGCGAGACCTCGTGTCTACAATAAATCAAAAAAGTAGCAGGGCATGGTGGCTCGTACCTACAGTTCCAGCACTTGGAAGACTGAGGTGGAAGGGTCGCCTGAGCCCAGCAGGTCAAGACTGCAGTGGCACTCCAACCTGGTCAACAGAGTGAGACTCCAACTCAAAAAAAAAAAAAAGAAAAAAGAAAAGAAAAGAAAGAAAGATGTATGAGTGATGCTGTTCACAATAAAAACTGTACTATCAAGTAAACGTTATTTATAGATTTTATAGCCCATTGAATAGTAAATGAAATAGGAGGAAATACAAATAAAAATAATGCTATAAACAATTTTAAGAATGCTTGAGTCAAGAAAATAGGAAGAAATTCTATGAGGGTGGAAAAGGGAAAAGTATAAAAGAAATGGAAAGACACACATACATACACACAGACACTCATATACCCTGGAGAGAGAGAGAGAAAAGAGAGAGGGGAGAGGGAGGAGAGAGTAAAGGAAGGAGGGAGAGAGAGAGAGAGAGAGAGAAAGAGAGAGAACAGAGGGATGGAGAGAGAGGAGATCAAGAGCATTATCTGTAGACTGGAAATAATACGAGAGATAAAGCTGAGGAGGAAATATTAGCTTCAGGTTGGAGTAAGAATACCTTCACAACTAGATAGAAGAGGAGTGGAAAGATTCGAAAGTGTTGCTTGTTTGTGTGATATGGTTAGTGTTCTGGGAGACATGAAGAGAAAGTACTGAGAGTTAAAAATAAGATACAATGTAAGAAAAATGCAAGTGTAACAGATCTACTAATGCCAATGTAAAAGGAAACTAAAGAACACAGGAGGGGATTTTCACATACCTTAGTCCACCTAAAGGGGCATCGACTGGCTTCAATCTGTAACTTTTCTTCAGAAACCAGAGCTATTGGCAAATGAGTAGTTTCAGAGGTTCAGGTCTGAGTTGTGGGCAGACAGATTTAACAGATGAATTAAAGGACAGTAATCAATGGAAATAGCTGCAGAGGTATGGGATGGGATCCAGTTTGGTTAGAAGAGCAGGTGAAAAAGAATAAACCAAGAGCAAGAGAAATTGGTGTGGCCTTACAATGATGTGACAGGAAAAAGTCTTGAATGGTCTGAAAAAAAGAATGTGAGGAAGACTCGGAGTTTAATAAGCTGTGGCAGGTATGTATGCTAATAAGAGGGAATATCAAACTGTGGAAGAAATAGCAGATGATAAGTGGCTATGAACAGAAGTTGAAGCCAATTGGTAATATTAGGCCAGATCTTTCTGTCATAGGATGTGAAATAGAAATGACACTGGTTAACCATCTTGGCGTTATTGTTTCTATTTTGGTATTATTGTTTTGGGTATTAGTCTTTCTACCCATGCATTAAAATCTTCCACTACAACTTCATCATGAAAACTTAATACTACATAAAACATGAAATTTAAATGCTTCATAGAGTAACAGAGTCAGCCGGGGTTTGCTACTGCCATTGTTGCTTTATAACTTCATCTTTATCTCTTCTGCTATTTTCAGCAATCAGTTGTAAAATGTAATGGAGATGCCATCTCACTTTTTCAACTATATCCACCATGAGTCTGTATTTTCTGGTTTTAGTACTATCTACCTAATGATAATGATGTTCATATCTGATGATGGAGGTACAGCTGTTGACTTAATGGCTTTCCCCCACTGACCTTAAAACTTTTTAAATGCTTTTGTGCAAATCCTGCCTACACAGGCTATAGCAATTGGGAGGATTGTTGCCTGGGATAAAAAGGAAAATGCACATGTAGAAACCTCAAAGAGCTGAGACAAGAGGATTGTCTGAGCCCAGGGGTTCAAGACCAGCCTGGGCAATTTGGCAAGACCTTGTTTCTACAATAACTTAAACAATTAACTGGACATGGTGGCACATGCCTGTAGTTTCAGGTACTCGGAAGGCTGAGGCCGAAGGATTGCCTGAGCCCAGGAAGTGGAGGCTGTGGTGGCCGTGAGAGTGCCACTGCATTCCAGGCTGGGTGACAGAGTGAGACTCCAACTCAAAAAATAAAAATAAAAATCTCAAAGAAACCATACATTGTATCATTTTTTAAACTTCCAAGATATAAAGAACTTCCTTAAGAAGAATAACAAGGCATGATTCATTTCTGTGCACCAAATATCTAACCATCTACCTGATATGTTATTGGTCCTTCATAAAGGTTTACTTAACTATTTTGTACCTATGGATGAAAATAAGTGAGATAAAGTTGATAACATTGATTAGTTTTATAAAACCAAATAAAACATCATGTTTTAAGATTTCATAAAATTCATGCAGTTATGTCATGATGAGCTTGGTTATTAGAAAAGATAAAACATATTTTTATATAATTTTGTAGGAAATCCATAACACTGGATAAGAAGATCTGAAGCCTCTTAATGAATGAGATTTCTGATCCATGATAAGTGAAACTGTAAAAGAACTTCAGAAGAATGGTTCCTCCTAATGACACACAGTTCCACCCCTACTTTTTTCTCCTTCTTGGAATTCCAGGGCTAGAAGACATACATATGTGGATTGGTTTTCCATTTTGTGTAGTATATTACACTTCCCTATTGGGAAAGATTACAGTTATTTAATGATCTGGACTGAACACAGTCTCTGTCGGCCTATGTTTTACTTTCTGGCCATTCTGTCATGTATTGACCTGGGCCTATCTACATCCATCATCCCTAAGATGCTTGGCATCTTCTGGTTCAGCCTGAGAGAGATCGCTTTTGTCAGTTGTCTCATCCAGATGGTCTCTATCCACTTGTGAACTGGCATGGAGTCAACTGTGCTCGTGGCCATGGCCTATGATCGCTATGTGGCCATCTGTGATCCTCTTCGTTACACATTGGTGTTGACAAACAAGGTGGTGTCAGTTACAGCATTGATTATCCTTCTGAGGCCCTTAACCATCGCAATCCCCTTTGTTCTACTCATCCTAAGACTGCCCTTCTGTGGACACCAAGTCATCCCCCATACCTACTGTGAACACATGGGTATTGCCCGACTGTCCTGTGCCAGTATAAGGGTCAACATCATCTATGGTTTATGTGCCATAACTATCCTGGTGTTTGACATCATAGCCATTATCCTCTCCTATGCCCAGATCCTCCATGCTGTCTTCCACCTACCTTCCAGGGATGCCCGACTGAAGGCACTCAACACCTGTGGCTCCCATGTCTGTTGTTAAAATTGATCACCTGACTGGGGTAGTGTTTATTGGGATGATCTTTGTCTCTCACATTCATACTTATTCTTTTTGTTTGTTTGTTTGTTTTGTTTTGTTTTGCTTTGTTTTTTGAGTTGGAGTCTCACTCCATTGCCCAGACTGGAGTGCAGTGGCCACTCCCGGTCACTGCTGCCTCGAGTTGCTGGGCTCCTGCGATCCTTCCACCTCAGCCTTCCGAGTAGCCAGAATTACAGGCACCTGCTACCACACCCGGCTGATTTTTGATTTATTGTAGAGATGAGGT